TGGATGTGATAAAAGGATGTCCAGATAAAGAGAGGAGAGTCTGCTTGTTCCTTCACTGTTTTCCCCCACAATCAGTTTGAGAATGTGATGTTGAAATGCCTTTCTAGATGATATACTTACATAATTTACCTGTTCCTTACACTTGAATGTTCCAGCAGGTCAAGATCTAGCAAAGGGAATTCTGCAAGATGAAAAAAGATCCATGCTTCTTAGAGACTTAAATTCATCTTAAAATATGAATCAAGAGGAAACTGGAAGGAGAAGGCAAATGAAGAATGTACCTACCATTGGCACATGGTTCATTTGAACAGTTCTTGGGCCTTGGTGGAATCTTCAATTGATTGCAGAAGTTTTGTAGACGGATCTTTAACTGCTATTGTTAGTACTTAATGCAGTATGTATCATAATGGGAAAGAAAGGTAGGTGAATAAACAGATTACTGATTAGTTATTTCAGTGAAAGTTTTGCAAATCACTTTGAATTTTTCCAAGGTGATAGAAATATGTGAACTAGATAATGATAACAACAACTTTTAAAACTCTGAAATTAAGCTATCAGTATAATCAGATTGATCCATTGAAAAACTGCAATGATTGAGCCTGATAAGTATCAATTGGAATCAAATTCATAATCAGAAGGGCTATTCTCAAGGAGACCCTATTCCTCATGTCCATCAACTGATCTTTTTGCCAGGCTGGTGTATGCTATAGAATCTGTGCAACTGAAATTCATCAAGTGGGCATAAAAAATGTTGGACTTTAAAGCCCAACACCTGTACATTTACATTGGAAACATTAATATAATCGTTGCAGACAATGAATAATATACATATTTAGTTGCTTTGCACCTACCAGTGCAATATCAATACAAGTTTTCTGATCTATCTTTAGAAGGAAGCTTTACAGAAATATGGACCAGTTCCCAGAATATTCTAGCCAGCAATAGGCTGGGATTGTAGTCTATAGACTGGTCAGAATTAAGTTTGGAGATGATTGCAGTAGAACATTAAAAACTGAAATAGAATTTATTCTGGCCAGAAGTCATTTCAATATGCTGCTTAAACTGGTAAGAATTATGAATTATTGCAGACCTCATAGATTTCCCATACTCCAGGGAACTTATCAAGGCCTGATTGTAAGCCACCATCCTAGAAGCGTTGGGCTTTTTTACCCACAGTACTTTCCTCTTGCCTGAGTTAAGTCTTAGCTTGTGCCCAAGAACCAGCTCCAGAGACCAGCTCAAAAGTTGCACAACAGAAAATGGAAAGAGGTGAATGCCAGTCCAAAGCTTTTAGTGATTTCATGCAGATAATAAAAGTTGAAGCAGATAGAACAGACTATTGTGTCATATAAGACCCTTTAACACAGTTCTACTTTTAGAAGCCATTCCTCCAGGCAGAGCTGAAACCACCGTATCACTGTGTTTCCCAAGGCCAAGATTAATGGCTAGTCTAGGAGTATCAAAAACTGTTAAGAGATCCTTGAAGGCAGCTCAAAACTTGAGGACTTACTTAATAGCAATTGCCTGCCCCCAGTTGTCTCTGCTGGCTCTCAGTACTCGGTTGTAGCAGTTACCATACCGAGGAAAGAAGGGAAATGTATTTTCCCAGCAAAAGTATGCTAATGTGAGGCATATCTGTTTGTATATGAAATAGTTGAATGGACATTTAAAACTCCTCAAATGTGCAAAAGACAGGCTCCAATGAAAACAGCTACAAGTTTCTTGGTTTTAAGAGAAGGTATTTTTCCCTAGTGCAGAACAAAGAAACCCCTGGAGAATTTTGCACTCTTAATGTTATAGAAACCCAGTAATTGACATTTTATATTTTTTCTTTATTTGTCATGACTTGCTAAGTCCTCTGATTTCCTTAAACCAGAAAATGTATGTGTGTGTGTGTGTGTGTGTGGGGGGGGGGTTACCACTTATTCTCTTTGGAATATTTGCAGAGAGGAGAAACGGCATTGTTTTACTATCCTGCCTTATTTATTTTTATTTATTATATTGTATTTATTTATTGTTTCCCAACTTTATTATTTGTACAAATGACTCAAGTAGCACACCTTCCTCCTCCTATTTCCCCCACAACAACCCTATGAGGTGTGTGGGGCTGAGAAGAGAGAGTAACCGATCCAAATTAAATTCAGCTGGTTTTCATGGCTAAGGTGGGACTTGAACTCACTGTCTCCCACTTTCTAGTCTGATGCTTTAGTACAAGGGTCTTCAAACTTGGCAGGTTTAAGACTTGTAGACTTCAACTCCCAGAATTCATGAGCTAACATGACTGGAGGAGGAATTTTGGGAGTTGAAGTCCACAAGTCTTAAAGCTATCAAGTTTGAAGACCCCTGCCTTAATCACTAGACCAAACTGACTCTCGATCCAAACTGGCTCTCTTATCCCCCCATCCAAAGCTCCCTGTCTGAAAACTGACCACATATCTGAATACTGTTCAGTTGTAATATTGTGATGTTGCCGATTTTTTACACAAGACATGGTTTGATTTAACCATGGTTTGTTAAATACAATGGCTAGATTTATAAGTATACTAAGACTTGATTTGCCAAACATAATGTCTTCGTTTATATACAACTAGTCCGTGACTTAAAATCATTCATTTGGTAAGTGAAGTTACAACAATGCTGAAAAAAACTGAATTACAACTGGATTACGCCCTCATGACCATCTCAGCTTCCCCATGGTTACCAAGCACCTGATCAAAATTCAGGTGCTTGGTGACTGGCATGTATTATGACAGTTGCAATATTCCAGGGTCAAGTAATCGCCATTTGCAACTTTCCTAGCTGGCTTCCAACAAGCAGAGTCAATGGGGGAAGCCACATCTGCTTAACAACTGTGTGATTCACTTAAAAATTGCCATGATTTGCTTAACAACTGCAGCAAAAAAGGATGTACAATTGCGTATGATTGATTTAACAACCACCTCACTCACTTAATGATGGAAGTTCCCGTCCTTGTTAGGGTCATAAATCAAGGTAAATAGCCTGTACTATAGTTATGGTTTGTTCATAGCTAGGTAAAGGTGTATGGATTTAATCTCTATAGAAAGTATTATAGAAATTATACATTACAACCAGAGCTTTCTAGTAACTTGAAACTCCCTCCTTGAAACAGAAGTGGAGGCAGTCCTCAACGTACAACCACAATTGAACCCAAAATTTATGTTGGCTAAGTGAGAAATTTGTTAAGTGAATCACTGCAATTGCTAAGTTAGTAATACAGTTTAGTTTAGTTTAGTTTAGTTTTAGTTTCCTTTATTGTCATTGCACCTTGTACAACGAAATCAAACACCATCTTCAGTGCACACCATGACCATGAAAACAAACACAAACACACATCCTTTACCCTTCACACATTGAACCAGAAACCCCCATACCACACCAACACTGCACTATACAGCAGAATTCAAAAGAGCTACTGCCCTGGGATAGAAGGTGTTTTTCAGACTGTTTATGCTTGTTTTTATTATTCTGTACCATCTGCCAGATGGTAATAGTTCAAAAAAAGAATTCCCAGGATGAGATGGATCTTTGAGAATGTTTTGAACTTTCTTAAGGCAGCGGGAGCTATAAAGCTGTTCCAAAGAGGGGAGAGGGCAACCAGTGATCTTCTGGGCAATGATGTTAACCCTCTGGAGTGCTGTCCTATCTACCACTGTGCAATTGGCAAACCACACAGAGGTGCAGTAAGTTAAGATTGTTAAGTAGATCTGGCTTCCACATCGACTTTGCTTGTCAGAAGGTCGCAAAAGGGGATCATGTGACTCTGGGACACTGCAACCATCATAAATATGAACCAGTTGTCAAGCATCTGAATATAAATCACATGACCATGGGGATGCTGCACCGGTCATATGTGTGACAAATGATCATGTCACTTTTTTCAGTGCCTTTGTAACTTCAACCCTTCACTAAGCAAGCTGTTGTAAGTCGAGGACTACCTGGACCCCAATTGTGGAACACAGTTCAATATCATGAAAGACAACTACTTGCTTTGTTTTAACGTCAGCTGAGCTGAAAGGAAGTTGCATCTCTGCATGATTACATGATCTTACCTTGCCTCTTCGGAGTCACCCTCATCTCCACAAGAGGGTAAGTAATTCATTTGAAACTTAGCAGTGAAGGTAGCAGAGCATTTAATTATTCTGCCTATTGGGACAGCAGAATTATTGGCCATCAGGGAAAGCTATCCCCATAATGAAAAACTTTTGTTTTGGACTGAAGCTGCCTCCAGAGCAGGGGTCTCCAACTTTAGCAATGTTAAGACTTGTGGACTTCAATTCCCAGAATTCCTGAGCTAACTTGACTGGAGGAGGAATTCTGGGAGTTGAAGTCCACAAGTCTTAAAGTTGTCAAGGTTGGAAACCCCTGCTCCAGAGCAATGTATTATCCACAGTCATCAAAGAATGCTCTCTCTCTCTCTCCTCTGATTCTGAACCTTGGTTGTTAAGAGTAAACTTCTTTTGATTTTCCCCCAGGTAGGAAAAGAAAACATGTTCTAGAATTCGGAAAACGTGTGATGGCTTTAATCAGTAAAATGCTGTGAGACGCTACTTACTCTCAATTGTAGAAACGACACATAGGAATCAGTTTTAACCCAGGAAAGAAAGGCCTGGTCCAAAAAGGACACATGGTGTATTGGAAACTGGTTACCCCAGGAAATCTGGAATAACACATATTCTCCTGCAACACTCCTAATGAGTTTTTAGTCTGGATCTGTGCAGGGTGTTCATTAATCATCTAACATGGTTTGGGCAATTATTGGCATATAGCATCCTGGGGGGGGGCATTCCCAGGGTTTGTTAGACACCTGATGAACACCTGATGTGTGACATTTCTATTTTTCAGGGCAGCCAGAGGCCAGAGTCAGTGACAGGAATGCTTCTTGGCACGTAAGGTTGCTCACGGTTTAACTTCTGCACTTAGTTTTGCAAAATTTCCAGTTCCTTTTTAAAGCCACTTCTCTTGGTTTGTCTAGCGGAGGCATTAGGACCTGGCGGAACGCAGGCACCCTAGTCCTAGATTGCAAGCTGGCTTGCTTTGGTGACGTAAGCCAGAAGCCCTGTCTCTCTCTCCCTCTCTCTCTCTCTTTTCTCTCTCTCTCTCTCTCTCTCTTTCTGTGAGTGTGTGTGTGTCTCTCTCTTTCTCTTCCCCCCTCCCCTCCCTTTCCAAGCTCTCTAACATTTAAGCGAAAATGCTTCTTTCTGTGCCTCCTCGTGCAGGAATTGCCACTTTTGGCTACAACAAGAGCAACAAGAAGGTAAGGAAGCCGTCTACCCCATGCCCCCCCACCGCCCCGCTTCCTATTTCCCAAGATCTTGGAAACGTCCTTGGCTTCAACAGGGAGGATAGGTTAAAAAAAAAAAAGGAGGGTTGAGAAGGTTTCCCCCCACTCTTCCAAAAATCCTGGTACTGCAGGGGGAGGGGGTGGTGGCAGCGACGAAGGAAATAGGGTCTTTCCAGTTTTGGGGAGACTAGAAGGTTGCCTTCTCAAAAGCGAAACAAATCTCTGGGGTTGGCTGATCTTAGCTCCGTTCCTTTGGTGGAAACCACCCCCTTGTCCCCATTCGGCGAGCCCTCTTGCTCAGGCCAGAGTGTTCCCAAGGGCGAGTTTCAGTCTGGAATTATTTTATTTTTTTAAAAAAAAAATGGGGGGGTGGAAGGGATGAGGGGGAGAAGCAGAAGAGCCGGGGAGACGAAACGCAGGCGGCGAAATCCCATTTCACAGCACTTGCTGACTTTCCGCGGACATCGGCAGTCTCTACGTTCTTCCCAGCACCCCTGCTTCAAGGACTTTGCATGGGGAGGCGAAGGAGGCGATGGATCCCCAGGAGACTGGGGGTGGTCTTTCTTGTTTCTGGAAAGAGGTCGCAGTAGAGGGATTTGAGACGTGGGCTTAAGCAAGTCAGGATCGCGCCAAAGGGCCTGCTTTTTAACCCTCTCCTGATGCTTCCCAGGGTGAGACAAGACTTCTAAGCCCACCCCTCACTGGGTGTTCTGGAGGGTGGGGTTCCAGGATGTGGTTTCTATGGCATCCATGTGTTCTCAGGCAGCCTGTGCCATAAACAAGGCTCCTCTTCTCTCTCCCCCCCCCCACAGCCCCTTTCTGTAAAAATTCCCCTCCCAACACGTCTTCGGGAACGGAGGCAGGAGGTTGTGTGCCTAGGAAGATTGAACCTCCAGCTTGTAGGAAGCTGTAAGGGAGTTGTAGCAAATGTGTTGGGGGGTGGGGGGTGGGTGGGAGTTGTATGACCACCCCCACCCACAAACCAAGGCTATCCCTGGAAACCTGAAAGGCCTTGTCAGCTAGGGAAAATGCAGGTTGGCTAGCCTGGTTGGTTGCTTCGCTTGAAGATTGGGGCGTGGATTAGTTTCCCCTGTGGCAAGAAGTGTGTGGTTTAGTGTGGGTATAGGGCGTTGAGGCACTAAGTTATCTCTCCACTGGGGTTGGGAAGGTGGGGTGCGAAGGCAGGAATTGAGAATCAAGACTTCCAGCATTTGGGAGGGAGCTTATCTCTATTGTTGATTCACTGAATGACCTTGTATGCCTATGTTGTGAATTTAAAAGAAATGGGGGGGCGGGGGAGGGGAGGAGGGACTTTCTGCTTAAAATAAAAAAAAAAAATTATCCGTTTCCTCTCTGTAGCCAAAAGCAGGAGACGGTTTTACAATCAATGAATGGGCACATTAAAGCCACTGTAATAAAGAGGATGGGCAGGAACCTGACAAGAAGGAGGCAGGCTAAATTTGGATTATTAATTGTGTTTGTCCATATTTGGGGTGGGTATGGGTAGCAGCAGAAGGATTTCTTGCTTTTTTATCCTCCCCGGGCAGCCTGTCTTCGAACCTGGGTCACATTTTTTTTTTTATTTTCTCATTCTGATTTATTGGATGATGGAAATATATACAAGTAGGCAGGCTGAACTTATAGGATGGTGGAAGAGTGATGTAGGCCCGAAAAGCTCTGAGGAGATTTTTGTGTGTCACATGCTGTTCATTAACATACACATCCATGTGTCCTAAAAGCCCACGTAAGGACAAATCACCAGGCATCTTTTAGATTTGAAGTAAAGTTGCAATTACTTCTGTAGGTTTGTGTATAAGGATGTACACTTCTCACTTTTCCTACCACGTGAATCCAAATTATATGTGTGTAAGTTGCATGTGTGATTTTGAAAATGTCTTCATTATATTGTTGCATTTCTAGAGTGTTCGTAATTGAATTTATTTGGCCTAAAATTTGGTTTTATGGATTTGGTGCATGTGTAAGCGCCTGTTTTCCAACAGTAAGTATGGAGGAAATTCACCTTTCTGGGCACTGATGGACAGGTATCACTGTGATATAGGTGTGCAATCCCATTTAGTTATTTACAATATTGACTTTGTATGACAGCAAAGATATGGGGTGCGTATCTGTACATAAATAGAATTTGATCAGGCGAACTGTCACAATACAGGTATAAGGATGCATGTCTGGAAATGAGGCTGATGGTATCTCTGCATGGTGGTGATTTGGATCTACAACAGGAGTGCACGGTCTGTGGGCAGAAGAGTTGCAGGCTTTGCCTGGCATGTCAAGTGCAGCACTCCAAGTGGGCTGGGCCAAGGATCCCCTGAGGATCTTGTGAGCCTGAAAGAGTCTCTGCAAAACTTGAAGCACCAATTTCGGCCCTTCACTTTTCCTCTCCAAATTACTAAAAAAAAAAAAAAGGCCACATGTTAACGCTCTGGCAGCGTCAGTATGGAAGTCTGGTAGGCTGTAGATGGGCAGCTCTTTGGCTGTACCTTTTGCTCCATGGATGTACAATACACAGGTTTTACTTCAGCTGAACAACGTTCCCATCACAAAGGTGCTCTTTGGAAGTGAATTTCATTAAAATCAATGGATTTCTGTCTGACTTCAGAGCCAGATGTAGCCAGCAGAAGCTTTAGGTGCAATCCCCAGAGCCCTTGCAAAATTTGTGACCAAATTGCAGTTGTAATTTGTTACAGAAGTGGAAATTATCAAGTACCTGGGGAGTAATCCCATTAACTGTTTTGAATTTACATTGAGTTAAATTGGAATTAAATCCATTCTTGTTCTTGTCCTAATTGAGGGAGAAAGAGTGGGTGGGAAGCAAGTTTAGGACTGTAATGGTAGCCAATGGGTGTGTGCTGGCTTAGGCACAAGAAATCATTTTAAGAAAGCTCTGAGTTTCATCGTGTGTTTCTCTGAATCGGGTCTCGTATTGAGGTTCTTTCTGTTCTGAATCCACTACCACATTTGTGTGAACAATATTGCCCTTAAGATGTATGTTGATGGTAGAACCTTCCTGGATTTGGAATACTACAAAAACATGGCTCTTACGTTGTGAGATGCTATTTTAACTACAGGTTCAACTCCTTTGCATTGTTTACCTGAATGCAAGTAACATAAATAATGCCATTGTATGCAGAGGAGGAGATCTCAGCCTGCATATCAATGGCACTGGCCTTTTGTGAAATAGGATTAATAATGAACTTGGTGGACATGTTTCTCTCATTACTCTGTTGTGGAAATTATACATTCAGCTTGCTGTAGCGTGGATCTGCTGTGTCTAGCATTAGCATCAACATGAGTCACAACTTGAGCATCCATCTGAACCTTGACCATGTTGCGTTGACTCAATGATCTTAATAACCATGGCTTAATTGTGAGTTGTTAAATAATCCTTTCCCTCATAATTTTAAAACCACACAAACTACACAATGCCTTAGTGAAAGGTACAGATTCACCTTACTCTCGGTGAAGCAGATGGTACACCTTGGGAAAAACTGTACCCAGCTGTAGTTAAAAGCAAACCTGGTTATATCTTGCTGGTGAATGGAAATAGTCTTACCTACAAATTTAGGTATTTGGACCCGGCTGGATTTCTCAAGCAATTTGGGCCTGAAAAGGGGTTTTAAAGTTTAAAAGTTTAAAATAAAATTATATAGTTGTTGGTTGACTGGTTGGTTTTTATATAGGAATATCCTTATCAGATCTAAAAGATGTAGATGCTTGTTGTTAGCTTCTTTGTCCAAGTATATATCTGTAGGAAAACAATGGATTGGTTTCTAGTGGTAGATGCCAACCTAGTGTGGTCTGAAATAAATGCATGAAGTTATCTAATGGCAAGTAGCAAAATTATCTATCTTGGATATATGAACAAATTCTGAGATAAAATCTATACTCAAAATTCTTGTTTCATAATTTAATTATTGAGGTATGTCTTTTTATACCATCTGCTTGTGAGAGGATTTCAGGGCTTTAATAAAGTTAAATCAATAAAGTATAACTTCTTCAGCTCTGAAGACCCGATATAAGTGGTCCTTCTCTGCCCAATTATTAAGCTGATAGCATTTCTTTTGTACAGCTAACTCTGTCCTTTCACATTTTCCTACAACATCCTGTTTGCCCACTTGTTGGAACAGCCATGCAATATTTTTGAGATTTTACTCTCTGGGCTCTTTTTTGAAATTGACTTCCCTCAAATGAGGTACCACACTGTATGGCGTCTTATTGGGTCGACTTTTAAAAGGCCCTTAAGTGTATCTTTTGTTCAGCTCAAACTTGGATAATGATTTTTTGGGGGGGCTGCAATATGTTATGGCAATGCTGGGGCTAGATAATTGTTAAATTCATGCACTTATTTTTGTGTGCTTGTTTAATTGTTGTATGCTTCTGCTACGCTTAGATATAGACATTTCGTTTGCTATCAAGACAAAAGTACCACAACCAGTACTACTGGGGAAGCTAGATTGAAAGATAGTGATTTTCACGAACATCATGGCAGAGTAGGGATGTGCACTGTATATGTTTTGCATGTTGAATACTAATCAGTTTTCAAGCTTTGCCTTTCATTTGTTCATGAACTGGTCTGGTCACTTTCTGTTCTTTCCCCAAGCATTGCATTGCATTTATTTCTTCATCTTACAGATGTATTCTTCACGTAACTGCTTTCTTTAATTTGTAATAAATGGCCATTGTAAAGCATCTATATTAAAGCTAGAGGAGTGGATGGTGAGTACTATTTAGTAAGTACAATAAAACATTGAGGTTAGAATCCCAACCTCTGTCTGACACTTAACTAGGTGTCATTTCTTTAACTTTTCATGTTTTAGATCTATTGATTAAAATTAGTATCATTCCCAGACAGCTTGGTAACAGATTTGGAAGAACTGAATTAGGCATTTCCCCCCATATTCTCTTCTCTGAAATGGTCATCTTTTTGTTCATTTGCTTTTTATGGCACATCTTAG